TCCCTGCCACTCCCCAGAGCCACTGGCACCTCCCAGGCATTCCCCCACCACTCCCCATAGCCCCCGACACTCCCCAACATCCCCCTGCCACTCCTCACACCCACCCACACCCATAAATCCCTGACCCCATGTCTCTGCCTTATCTTTGACAGCTCTGGGGGCAGCAGGAGCACCACAGAGATGCTCTGGCCAGAAACCAGAGCATCTCTCGTTTAGGACCAACTCCCGGGTTGCCTCTGCGATCATGCCTTGCCCTACTGTTCTGCGGCATGGTTTTTTTTGACCCCTGGATATTCAGGGGTCTAATTTTGCCCCTGCACTGCAAATATGCAGTGCAGGGAACGTTTTTTTGTTCCTAAACATGCGCCTTGCAGCACCTCAAAGGGGCTTGAGACGCTGCAAGATGTACGTGCGCGCTCGTCTGGATGCCCCCAATGAGGCTAAACAGACAATTCTCTGACACTATTATAAAGATCTTTGGGAGAACCACATCCATTTTTACTCAGGAAATGAAAAATATTATGAAATCCTTTCCAGACTAGCTTCAGGAAAAATTACTTCTACTAAGTAGAAGTCTCCTCCCCTCTCCTACCCCAGGAACTCTCCTCCTCTCTTCCCACTCTCCTACCCCAGGAACATTTTATATGCTCCCAAAGATTTACAAAGGTAACTTTGGCACACTCATCATATCCAACTGTGGTATCCTCACTGAAGAGATATCAGGATTCATAGAAACCATCCTGAAACCACCTGTCACTTAAAGAGCGAATTCTCTACAAGATGCAACAGACTTCCTCAACAAGTTCCCAAACATTAATCACCTCCCTGAGAAGACCATACTTCAACCATGGATGGCATCAGCCTATACACTAAGATCCCACACCATGAAGACACAGCTGCCTGCCTGAAATACCTATAAGAAAACAGATTACACTCATATTTGCAACCACAACATATTGCGTAATTCATCCATTCCATCCTCAGCCACAACTTCAGTTTCAACAACTGACACTTCCTCCAAACCATGGGCACAGCTATAGTCATAAAGATAGCTCTACAATATACCAATGTCTTCATGAGCCACCTGGAAGAGAAATTTTTAGAAAAATTTGCCACCAAAACTGCACTATACCTGCACTACACGTATGACATTTTTATTATCTGGACTGAACATCTGGACTTGCATAATGGCTTCTACCACAGGCTTAAAAAGTACTACCCTTCAATCAAATTCTCTCTGAAATCCTCCTACACTGAAACATCCACTTTCTAGATAACACAATTTCACATCCCCCCCCCCCCCCAAAAAAAAAAAAACCAAACAAACCCAACAACAACCAAAAAACCTTCCCATGGATGACCACACTTATGTAAGCAGTATTCTATGGTCAGTCCCTTACGTACCACAGCATTTCCTCTGAGAATACTTATGAGACGCATCTCAGCAAACTGAAAACTGTCTTTACCCAGCAACCCAGTACAATCCAGCAGTGAACTAGACTGTATCTTTGAGTGTGTTGTCTAAATGCCCTGCAATAATCTCCTACAATACAAGAAAAAAAACTCGACTGACAACTGTTGGTTGCCACCTACCATCCCACACACAAATCAATAAAAAGGATCGTCAGACAATTACAACCTATATTTTAAAAGGACCATACTTTGAGAGACAGTTCCACTAAGCCTGCAACTCCTCCCAGTTCCTGGCCTTCAGACACCCTCCCAACCTTGCCCAACTCATTATCAGAAGCAAACTTCCCACTGTTCAAAAGGAACCAAAAGTGACCCAAGCTTGTCTCAAAACAAGTATAAGACCTGTCAACTCACCTCTACTAACACAACACGTGACACTCCCCACAATAAAACCATCAGAATCCATGGATCATTTACATATCTATCCTGGAAAGTGATATACCTCATCTAGTACACTAAATGCTCTCATGGGTTAGGGGCAGACATTCAAAAAGCCTGAACCTGAATTGCTTCAATCTTTGCAGGTTAATGTAACTTGGATAGGCTAAATCAGTTTGTAACCAGACAGACATCTCAGACATGCAGGCACATGCTAGCAGTGGCTCAGGCTAGAAGCCAGGGGACACCAGAGCAGCCCTCTCTTCTATTCCACAGTACTGAGTTGAGGGGGGGAGGGGTGGCCAGGCCCCAACAGGATGCTCGGATTAGGGAGGGGTTCCCACCCTCCTGACCAGCCAATTGATAACACAGTGTTTATCACCACATTAAGAAAACAACAGAGGGACATTACCAGCTATCTTTTGATTCTGCCTTTGTTCCATCTGCCACAGCATGAACCATAGCCAGGATGTGGTCTGCTAGCTAATACTGAGAGGTGTCTGTACGGCAGAGGGGATGGGGAGGGGAGGGAGCCGGCAGATGCCTGCTGTCTCTGCCACAGCTGCAGCCAGGGAGCAGAGGAGAGGGGCTAGCCCTGCTGTGGAGCCGAGAGCCCTGCCCAGCCAGAGAACATGCCGGGATGCTGGGGGAGTTTGATTTAACTTAAACCAGCAAGGGGTTTGGGACAGACATTGCATAAAATGGTTTGACCCAGATCAGTTAAGTCTGATGCTACATTCAACCAGGTTTATCTCAAACTGGTTTCAGCCATTTTCAAACTGGTTTATGTGTACTGAACATCTGTTCTGTTACAGGTTGAAACCAGCTTCTGATCACTTACACCAGTTTATGTCTAATGTCTGTCCCTAGCCATGGCAACTATATGAGTGAAACTAGACAAAAACTATGTACCAGATACAGTGATCGCTCAAAAATGATAAAGGCCAGAGACACTAGAACACAAGTAGAAGAACATTTTTCACAGAATAATCACTTCTTGTCTGACCTCATAGTTTTCATGTTCAAGAAAAATTTACAAAACACCGTCAAAAGATGAGCCTGGAAGCAAAAACTCTTTAGCTTATTGGACACTAAGAACCAATGATATGACTTCATGGTCCATTATAATCTACTCGATACTTGCTAATCTCTTCATTTCATGCTTGATAACAACCTACTGAAATGATGCTGCTTTCCACTCATCAGGTTTTTACTACAGCTCTCTTGTCAGTTGGCTACCTGATCATTTATCTTATATCCTATTCCTATTTATTTCTTATTTATTTATCTATTTAGCTCTGCTGTGCCTGCTTCTCTCCCAAAGACCTGAGGAAGAGTACCATGATACCTGAAAGCGTGCCTAAATCTACTGGAACAACTGCATGGCTGGGATAACAGGTATCACACAAAAAACTCCTGTCTCAAGTATTTTCTGGGCCATCAAGACTACAATATCACTTCAACACTACCATCCAAAGTTTGGTCTCTAGACGTTTTTCTACCACACATTAATTTAGACTTATTTTTCATTTTAGCAATAAAGCTTGTGGACCATACCTTCACCAGTGGATTAATAACACCAACGTTAGGGCTTGCATTAAAGACCTTGTTGAAGTTAGTCTCTCTGTTAACCAGCTCCAGTTGATAGAATTTTTTGTCCTCCTAACAAAGAAGAGCAAGAAATTAGAACCTCTGCATGCATTTGCAATTAGCTAAAAACCATACATGTATAAAAACTGTTTCAAACATAACTAGCTCTAAATATTTTAGAAGTAACCTATATTTCTATTAATTCCTTTCAATTTTTATTTAAAATGTATGTTTATAGCATACCACAGGCAATTAAAGGAATACCACATAGTTTACATTTATAGGATTCTGTTGTTTATATTTCACCCTTAAGAAACAGTCTGGTGGGCTATACATAGGCAAGGACTCAGAATACTTAATTTCTAGTTTTTGTACTGCCTAAATTATAACCAGATAACTATTCTGAACCTCAGTCTTCAATTTTTGTTTCTGAAACAGGAACATCAGAATATCCTGTCAAGCTGCTGTGGATTTGAGAGATGTGGAGACTCTGGACAGAATCTTGTTTCATTGTGTATGTTCAAATTGCACTTAACCAAGCCACGTAGCTGTCCCACGTAGCTAGGACACTTACAGCAAGTGATTTTACTATACGTGCTTATGCATTTGCACAGCTACTGAGCATGTGCAGGAAGCTGCGCTCTGGTAAAGCAGGTACACGATTCTGTACACATGAACCTGAGCAAAAGTTCCAAAACTGCTGCTCAGCAAACATGGGGGAAGGAGGACCCTCTCTTGTTTAGCCACAAACCCTAGTGGTTAGTGCATGGGCCTTTCCATACTTGTTTTGAAAAGCAGTTGAAAATTGTAGGTCCCAGCTCCTCAGAGGGCAGGTCTACTAGTTCTATTCCAGCTTCAAAGGTGGGGAGCATTTCGCTAAGAACACAACTAAAATGCTTTTTGCAACTTAAATTGTTAAGCACATTTACAGTATCATGCCCAATCTTGCAAAAGTTCATGTATATGTTTAACTTTACTAATTGTGACAGCTCAATTATAGTCACTGGGATATTAGCATGTGCATATTAAGTCTATTTTGAACAATTTTTCCCAGACATGTTTATATCCTTCAAGACTTAAAATATGTAAAAACAAAACAAAAAAACAAAAGCAAACAAAAACCTTACAATCAGTTTTTTTATGAGTTGATCTCTCTCTGCAATCAGATCTTTCAATTCTGCAATAAGCTGTAAATCTTCTGGTCTTGATTCTCTGTTTTGATATTTTTCTTCCATTTCTTCTAAACTTTATAGGAGAGAAATAGCACATCTTAAACTTAATATGATCGACATAAAAACTGAATGAATATGGTCATATCTTTGATCAGTACAATAGGATATACAATTAATAAAAACAGGAAACCGTTCCTCTCACACATTAAAATTTCAATTTTAACATGAATCTGAATTATTAAAGAGGTTTTAACAAGTTTGGATTTCATATAAGACTATTCTCTTACTGTACCAAATAACATTTTGGGTAAGATTTTGAAAACTCTGTACATGTAACCGTCAGTACCATTAAAGAAACCTGGTTGGGACAGGACTGAAAATCCCTTTGAGCAAGGAAAAATAAATGAACTGGAATCACAGGATGCATTTAAGAAAAAATAGTTTTCATGTACTAGAACAGGAGTAACTAATTTAATTTAACTTGAATTTTGAGAAGTCAGCAAAATGCATCTTGGCTGACTTGTTCTTAGGCACTGAGCAAAAACAAGAGTCCTGATATTTATCTAATACATTACAAGATTATAAAGAGGTGCATAGATATCATATTGGAGAGAGAAACAGAGACAGACAAACAGGGTTGGCAGCATCTTTCTCAGCTGATGTGGAGGAGAGTGGGGCAAAGATATCCGAGAATGCTGAATACTAATTAGTAACTAATTGCTGGCTGAAAAAACCAATTTACCACCATTAGACACGGAAATAAAGGAATTAGCAGCAAGAAAAGCAATTAATACTTGGATATTAGCATTTCAAGAGGAAAATAACAATTGATTAGGTTGAGAAAAATATGAAGAAACTGGAAATGCAGAGTGGGAAAGCATTAAAGGAGAAAACTGAAACAAGCCAGCCAATTTAGGAAACAGTTATAGAAGAAACAGCATAAGAATCTTTATGTTTTTAGCAAAAGATAAAGTTTTGAAAGTGTTTTTAGGAAACTACCTCAAAACACCATTTGTTGCTAAAACATAATTTTCAAATTCCTAATTGATGCTGAATATTTTCCAGTAGAAAAACTGCTGAAACACTTTTCGGTCAAACTCAACTTTCACGTAGTTTACTGTCCTAAGTTTCAAAACAGGCCCAGACTTTAGAATCTTAGGAGAAAAGACCCTGAAAAATTACAATTTAAGGTATTCAGTCAGCATCAATTTAATTTCACAAAACTTGTTGAGATAGATATAACTTTTTTATTTTAAGGCAGTATTTTCTGTTCAAAAGCAGTCATATTCTTGACATGTGTACGCCTAAAATTTATAAGAATAACATTAGGTGGTAAATTGAGCATGCTTAGTGAATCTGTTCACGACTTAACATAAGGATATTTCCTCTCACTAACAGATGGAGGAAAAATGTTAAAGGGGTCACATGATTCAATGATATAGTCTCCCTCCTTGTAGCTTCATTATGGAAGACCTCTAGTGTGACTGGTACAGGAACACAGAGACTTCTACTAGTTGGTGAAAATTCTCCAATACTGAATGAATATAGAGACCTTATAACTACCTCTGGCAGATGACGGGAGATATAGCAACTAACATAGAATGCATGGTCTGAGGCAAGGAAAAAGGACTCAGGTTACAAGGACAGGGAGTAATAGCAATATATGCAAGGAATCATTTCATTTGCAACTCTGCGTAATACGCAACTAAGTTTCCCCCCAAATCACTAGCTTATTGGCCTCTGTTCTGGCACCATGCACAGCTTCTAGGGGGCTGCATAAAAGAGAAGGCCACATATTTTGGTCTGCAGAACACTTCTTTTTGGGGTATGCAAGCATGAATTTACCACCATCCAATTCAAATAATGTAATTCTCAAAATGGAAGCGTAAGAATTAGAGTGAGCATACCAGCTAGGGCTGTGCGAAGCTTCTGGTGGCAATTCGATTCAGAGGAGATTCGGCCCAATTCAGTGGCTGAATCTCCAAATCCGAATCGAATCGGGGACCAATTAAAAGATCACCTGCCGGCTCCCCCAGCCTGCCCCATGGCTGCCTTGCCAGCCCCAGCTCCTGGTGCTGTAAAAAAAAGCCCCGACTCACCAGGTGCTGCCACGTGGGTGCGCAATCCCCGCTGCCCCCCACTGCCCCACGCTGCATGGGGACCTCTGCATGAGTCTCCCAAACCCCTCCTGCTCCCCCAGCCCTCCCTCCTCTGGCCCTTTAAGAAAAAAAATGAGAAAAGCCCCAGGACTCACCACTTCTGCAGCAGCCTTGGGGCTTTGGTGGGGCTTGTGTAAGAGTCCCCCATGCTGTGGGGGGCAGCAGGGGGCAGCGGAAATCACCTCCCACCTGACAGGAACGGTGAGTCCAGGGTTTTTCTAGGTTTTTTTTTCCTTGAAGTGCCGGAGCTGGGGCAGGCGGGGTAGCCATGGAGGGTGGGGGCTGGGACAGTGGTGTGGGGGGGCAACAGAGATTGCCCCTCCCGCCCAGCAGCACCCGGTGAGTCGGCACTTTTTTTTTCTTCTTCAAAGTGCCAGGAGTTGGGCTGGGCAGGGCAGCCATTGCCAGGCTGGGAGAGTGGGTGGGGGATGGGCCTGGGTGATTCAGAGATTCGGCCAAATCAATTCGGGACAGTGATTCGAATCACCCAATCTAATCACTGTCCCCCTAATCCGAATCTGAAGCGAATACTAGTTGCTTCGCACAGGCCTAATACCAACCAGCGTTATTTGTACCCCAAAATAATAATTAAAGAGAATAAACATATTTAGACAAAATATTTTAAAATTTCAAAAACACGATTGCATCTTGATTTGCAAAAAAAGCTTTTGATTAAGCATCACAGACTTTTAAATACACTCAGCTGTTTTATTTTTGTTGATAGACTCTGTTAAATTTTATGCTGGATTAAACTATTGTATACAAATCCCCAGAGTTAGGCTCAGCTGTCATTTTATTTTCATGCATCTCAGAAGCCAGTTTCTGTGAATATCACAGTACAGAATCCAGTCAGAATAGCTTACTGATACTACCATTAAGTTACTAAGAACTAGATTTTTCCAGTTCACTAAGTCCATTACTCACTGCATTTACATGGTACAGTTATAGAGTGATAGAGGACAGGGCTGGAAGGGATCTCCAGAGGTCATCTAGTCCAACCCCCTGTCTGAGGCAGGATCAGCTCTAGCCAAACCATCCCATACAAATACAATCTAAACTCTAAATAAGATTATCTTCAACTCTGATGCAATGAAGACCTAACAACCTAACCTGCCACAGGTAAAGCAGGGGAAACATGGCAGCCAATGTCCTGATTCTATAAAATGTTGCTGATATATGCTTAAGAGGTCCTAGGTGGAGGGCCACAACCCTTTCTACAGAGGAAGGCAAACCTCCCCACAGTCCATACCAATCTAACCATGGGGTAAAATTCCTTCCTGACCTCAAATATGGCGATCAGTCTGACTCTGAGCTGAGGGGCAAGACCCTTTAGCCAGGAGCCTCAGGCTTTGCTCCCAGCAGAATTGGCACACCCCATTTAAGTCCTCAGCCTTAGTTGTACCAACAACCAATGCCCCTGTGGAGGCTTAAAAACACCCCAACACATATAGCAGAAAAAAGGGAGGGGTCAGGGGTGAGGCAGGAGCAACCAATAAATAATAATATGCAATAAATACTTGCATAAAGACTTATAAGGGTCCTACTATTAATGGTATAGGAGCCAGGCGGCACAGGATTTTAGAGCCATAACTAGTTCCCACCATTCTGTACATGACAAGAGTTTAGATTCAGCCAAGAATCTTGCCCTGTATTTCCTTTTAAGACAAGGATGGTAAAGATATAGGCTATGCTGGTATATCATATTATATCATATATCATATATTTTGCATAAATGGCATGAATAATTAAAACTGCTAGCTGAAAATTACACTTCTAAGTGCCAGAATGAGCCTTTATGTCCCTGAAAAGGTTTTATCCTCAGGAAGATAATTTTACTACTGCTAACCTTCTCACCAAGTGCTTGTTGAAAGTATGTGCTGAATCATAGAAAATTAGGGTTGAAAGGCACCTCAGGAGGTCATCTAGTCCAACCCCCTCCCCCCTCCCCCACTCCAAGCAGAACCACCCATAATTACATCATCCCAGCCAACACTTTGTCTAGCCATGTCTTAAAAACCTCCAAGGATGGAAACTCTACAACCTCTCTGAGTAGCCTGTTTCAGTGCTTCACTACCCTCCTAGTCAGAAAGTTAACATAAAATAACCTAAACTAACCTAATCTAGTTAACCTAAACTAACCTAATCTAACCTAAACGTACTTTGCTGCAACTTGAGACCATTACTTCTTGTTCTGTCATCTGCCACCACTGAAAACAGTCTAGCTCCATCCTCTTTGGAACCACCCTTCACATAGTTGAAGGTTGCTATTAAACACCCCCTCAGTCTTCTCTTTTCCAGACTAAAGAAGCCCAATTCCCTCAGCCTCTCCTCAGAAGTCATGTGCCCCAGTCCCCTAACCATGTTCGTTGCCATGTGCTGGACTCTAATTTGTCTCCTTTTTTTCTGTAGTGGGGGGCCCAAAACTGGGAATGATACTCCAGATGTGGCCTCATCAGTGATGAAAGGAAGGGAATAATTACTTCCCTCAATCTGCTGGCAATGCTCCTACTAATGCAGCTGACTATGCCGTTAGTCTTCTTTGCAACAAGAGCACACTGTTGGCTCATATTTAGCTTCTTGTTCTCTGTAACCCTGAGGTCCTTTTCTGCAGAACTGCTGCTTAGCCAGTTGGTTCTCAGTCTGTACTAGTGCATGGGATTGTTCCATCCTAAGTGCAGGACTTCGCACTTCTCTTGAATGAACCTCATCAGATTTCTTTTGGACCAAATCCTTCAATTTGTCAAGGTCTCTCTGAATCCTAGTCCTACCCTCCAGGATATCTACTACTCTACGGCTTGGTGTCATCTGCAAACTTGCTGAGGGTGCAGCACTCCATCCCATCTTCCAGGTCATTGATAAAGATATTGAACAAAACCAATCCCAGGACTGACCCTAGGGGCACTCCACTTGATAC